ACTTTTACTTTGATATATTTCTTAATCAAAACAAATTTCCTAGACAGCCCTGTACTGCTGAGGAATGTGGCAAAGCCTTTACGGTGGGCTGTCCTTACCGTAGGCTCTCATATTCCTTCCCTGGAGATTCACAGGACCATTTCCTTTCAGAACCTTATACTCTTGTAAACACTTCCTAAAATGGAGATTCTAGGCTGCAGGGCTCAAGCATACCACCCTTTGGGAAGCACTGTTGTTTTCTTATTTCTCAGCAGGAAATCAGAATGTCCCAGGGAGGATTAGAAAATTCTGAGACAGCTCTGGGGAAGGGCTGGGAACATGGACTGGAAGTTGGAACCAGGTCAGCACATCTGGGAGTTCAAAGAAAGAAACGTTAAGCTGTTCATCAGGCTCCATAAATTCTCTTAAAAGTAGATAATTATGAGACAGAGAGATGACAATGGAACCATGTTGTCCAAGGAAAAGAATTAGACACAACTCACTTGAAACTGCCCTGCAAACGTGTAGGCTGAGCACATACGTCACTTCAGATTCTAAGCTGCAGATCTACTGAGGAAAGAATAGCTGTGGACCCTTCTTTCCCACGATCCTTCAGTGATGACAAGGGCACCTGAAATGCTGGCCCTGACCTATTTGCCACCTGCAGGAACGGGATGTTCTCCAACTGTCCTCCAGAGCATGGGCCCCCAGGCCTCTGCTCCTGCCTGGAAGGATTTCCCCCTTGACTTCCCCAAGCCCCACCCTCCACTGGAGATGCGGCTCCTGCAGAGGGGAAAAGGCCTTTCCTGACAACACCAGCTCCTGGTGGCCACTCCTTCGGGTGAGCTTCTCAGCACATTCTGATGGTACCACCTGTCATCACTTAATTGTCTATTGCCCTATGTACTGCTGAGGATAACTAATGCTGGTTGCTGAAACAGATTAACCCCAAATTCTCAGTGACCTAACTCAAAAAGCTATTTTTCACTCATGTCATAATACAAAATGGGTGTTCCTGGCCCGGTGTTCACATGCCCATTCAGGGTTCCCTAAGCTCTGTTTTGTGGTCTCTTCTAGGTCTGTAGAATCCTTGTTACTCAGCTGGCAGATGAGGAAAGAGAGCAGAGGGAAGGTAGGTACATCTGCTGCTTTTGTACAATATCATGTCTGTGAGATTCATCCATAATTGAGTCTGAGAGCCCAAGAAGAAAAGGAAAGGAGTTTCAGGGAACACAGCAGATGTATCCATATTCTACACTGAGATTTTAACATTCATGGGTTTACCCTGTTACTTCACCGTGTTGCAAAGAACTCTATAGCTCTCCAAGTCCTAAGACAGTGCATAGCTAATATATGACTTGAGGAGTCCTTCAGCATGCTCTAGCTTCAAGAAGACTGCATTAATCTAGTCATTTAGAAAAACACTGCATTAATAGTTACACTCTGTTACTTTGGACAGTCCTATGAGCCCAAGGTGATCATAAACCTCATGCAAAATATCACCTTGAAATTATATGGCAGAAACCTGCTCTATAATGGACATAAAGATCATCCAAATTACACTTATATTTCTATGGTTAGATCTGCATAGATACAAAGCACGTGTTGCACACCTCCTAATTAACTTTCAGATCATACTCCCCATGCCACCCCTCATTTTTACTATAACTACCCAAGGCTGAAGTTACACATAAACAAGTTACTTTCTTTTGAATGACCTGGTTCAAAGTTTTGCTCTCATAATGTTGTGTGCTCTTGGGTTTTATTTGAATTGCTGCTACCAGACACAAATGATTTACTTTCTCAGTTAATCTAATTTGCTTAAAAAGTGGCAGAGAGGCTAAGCCCACGTCAGTCACTGAACTCTGATGGTTGTTGCTGGGCTCTGCTGAGTCCTGGCTGGTTGAATTTGAGGGTGGTCTTTAGCCTTCAACAATGAATACCACATACAGCTAACTGCTTTGTTGTTGTTGTTGTTGTTGTTATCATTAATCTACAATTACATGAAGAACATTATGTTTACAAGGGTCCCCCCTTCACTAAGTCTCCCCCACAAACCCCACCACAGTCACTGTCCATCAGCAAAGTAAGATGCTGTAGAATCACTACTTGTCTTCTCTGTGTTGCACAGCCCTCCCCATCCCCCCACATTACATATGCTAATCGTAATACCCCCTTTCTTCTTCCTCGCCCTTATCCCTCCCTTCCATCCCATTCTCCCCAGTATCTAACTGCTTTTGTAGGGATCAGATGTGCTCTTGTTTTATATTTTACACAGAACATAATTGCACTTGTTCTGAGTACACATCTGACAAACTTTAGGTCAATGGATTCTGAGGCCCAGATACTCAGAAACACAGTATCTCCCCCTAGACAGCAGCTGGAAGCATATGCACACTTCCACTGCATGTTTGCACAGATAGCACTGCAGTGAACAAAGGAGAAATTGAGTGTGAATGGACTGTTGCCTATTGTCACACAGACCAGGGGGATTTAGTAAGGTCATCAAGGTCTGAGGCTGAGGCACAGTCCTGCCAGGCTCTGAACCTCCAAGGAGCAGTCACAGGCCCTGGGTTCCCTTCCAGAGGAGCCGCATCTGGCTATGCTTCATGACACCACCTGAAGTCTAGCCAGAGAGGGGTAACTTCCACAGCATTTGTGGAAGGAAGAATGGGTTCAAGAGGCCATTTCCCAGCTCCAGGGAACTTCATTCTCCCCTTCTCTCCCCTTTCCAACCCCCTCCTCTGTTCTTCTCTCTCACTGTCTTAGCTGACGTTTAGCTAAGAGTTTCCTAACAGATACTCTTCCCACCTTTCATGACCCCTGCTCCGTGCCCCTCCCCCAACCCCACCCAGAGCTTTCCCTTAGAGGATCTATTTTTTGTTTTATGTTGTTTTGCTTCAATATATTTCTAAAGTGTTTTCTCCTCAGGTGCTGCTGAATTACATCTGAGCTTTAACCAGTGGCTGAAATTAAAGTTCTAAGGCCAGAGCTGAGGGATGAAAGTGTCAAAGGCAAAGTGGCCTTCAAGGGCCCAAGAAAGGAAATCCTTGAAGACTTTCTCCTTCTCCACTTTGTCAACTGTAGTTCTGGGCACGTTCTGGTCAAAATTACTGGTGCGCATGTGTGTTGGGGAGTGTTTGTTCTGTGTGGCTTCCTCAGGAAAAGCCGGATGGTGGAGCAGGCGCCGAAACCCAGGGTACCCGGCAAGTCTGGGGCCAGGTTCGACTGACAGGGTCAGCTGACATTCCCCAAAGGCCCAGCAGGTGGCAGCATTTCCCACACCAACAGAGCCCACCAGGCTCGGCACTGAGAACCCTGGAGGGGACCTGAACACAAATCGGTGGAGACAGAAAGACCGTGCCAACCTGCCTGTGTCATTCTTTTTAAAAAAGTTTTTCCTTTTCCTATATTTGTTCCTGAAACATTTTAGTAAAAAATAATCAGGGTAGGTTTCCGTGAGACTGGTAGGAGAGCAGGTGCCTCCCTCTCTCCTACCTGTTGCCCTGAGCTGCCCAAACCCCTCACTAGGATGCTTCCCACGGATGGATCCCCATCCTTCCAGACACATCCTTGGGGAGATTGTTTCCGATCCTCAACTTCACCCGCCCGTCCCCCCATCCCATCATCCACCTGTCACTTTGCTGCCCCTCTTCCTTGAAGGCCAACTCTGCGAAACTGGAGAGCCAGCTCCAGACATTCAGCTGTGCCTCTCCTGGGGGAACGGAGCCCACTTCCTGGGGTAGACTGTGAGGGAGGCCATCTGAGAAAAATCCCGCTACCCAAAGGAGTAACGAAGGGCATCTGTTTGCTGTGAGGAAGACACTTCCGGACTGACGGCGGCTTCGCCAGGGCTGTCTGCAGGTCCAACTGGCAGTTGCTGCAGGTTCAGCTACAAGCAACACGAGAAGTGTCCCCTCTCCCACCCACAGCCTTCATATAAATATTTCTTTCTACCATATGTCACACAGCCTGAAGTCTCAGTATTGGAACTATATTTCTTTTGATTTTGAACATGGTCAGGTTTTTAAGATCTTCCTACTAAATATGCAAATGTGGGGGGAAACATCAAATTGGGGTGTAAATACTATGGAAGTGAAGAGGGGCTTGTTCAGGGGAATTGGTGATATGACAGTAAAGATAAACATGGTAAGAAACTCTGGTAATTTTCCTAAAGATAATGCAAAAAAAAAAAA